CTATTCAGTGCATCTAGGCGACTGTGATTTTTAAACGAGCGATGGGAAGTCGCCGCTTTGACACTTGGTAGAATTTGGAGGCCTCTCTATTTCCCAATCCTGGGAATGCAAACAGCAGTCATCTCTCAAACAGCTCCTCCTGTAACCTGGCCAGCCCCTGCACCTGTGTCGCTGTTTGGCTCTTCTCCCTTGCGCTCACTCTCTCACTTTCTTTCTTTTTTTTTTGTTGGCCAGGTGTGAGAGACGTTGACACCGCCTCAATCCGACTCGTTGTCATCTTATGTGGGCAGCAGATGCCTAATACGTTGACCAGCATGTCTACAGACACACACTCACTCACTCGTTTACTAACTTTCATTGGTGTCTAAAACCTGTATGCTAGAATTGGAATTTTATTTTTGGAAAATAATCAAGACTTAAGTGAGATTTGTTCTTTTTGCAGGTAAAATTAATAGAGACTGATAGGTGTTAGTGCCTTCTGTGCACTTTTTTGAAGCTAAAAAAATCAGATTAACAGATATTTGAACAGTCGGAAAGAAGGAAAAAGCAAGGAAGTCAGAAAGAAAAAGAAAGAAAAGAAGGAAAGATGGAAGGAAGGAACAATGAACATGGAGTGATGGTTGCTTTTATTTCTACTATGTCCTTTCTGAAGCTAGAAAATTAAAATGAATGGATATTTGGAGAATCTGAAGGAAAAAAGGGAAGCAGAAGAAAGAAAGAAGAAAGAAAGCAGGAAAGAAGGAAGGAAAGAAAGAAGGTAGGATAGAAGGAAGGAAGGAAATATGATTGAAGGAAGGAAGGAAGGAAGGAAGGAAGGAAGGAAGGAAGGAAGGAAGGAACAATGAATATGGAGTGATGGATGCTTTAATTTCTTTTATGTCCTTTTTGAAGCTAGAAAATTTAGTTAAATGGATATTTGGACAATTTAAAGAAAATAATGGGGAAAGAAAGAAAGAAATTCCCAGAGATGGGTTGTGGCTGGAAGGGCATCCGCTGCATAAAAACTTGCTGGATAAGTTGGCGGTTCATTCCGCTGTGGCGACCCCAGATTAAAAAGGGAATAAGCCGACAAGAAAATGAAAGAAAGAAAGAAAGAAAGAAAGAAAGAAAGAAAGAAAGAAAAGAAAGGAAGGAAGGAAGGAAGGAAGGGAAAAAAATCAAATGAAAGAAGGAAAAATATTGAAGGAATTAAATAAGGCTGAAGGAAGGAAGGAAGGAAGGAAGGAAGGAAGGAAGGAAGGAAGGAAGGAAGGGAAAAAATCATGAAAGGAAGGAAGAAATGAAGGAAAAGATGGAAGGACGGAAGGAAGGGAAAAAATTGAAGGAAGAAAGGATAGAAGAAAAGAAGGAAGGAAAGAAAGAAGGGAATAAGGAAGGAAAAAGATCAAGGAAGGAAGAAAGGTAGGAAAGAATGAAAGAAGGGAAGAAGGAAGGAAAAGGTCAAGGAAGGAAGGAATGAAGGAAGGAAGGAAGGAAAAGGTCAAGGAAGGAAGGAATGAAGGAAGGAAGGAAGGAAGGAAGGAAGGAAGGAAGGAAGGAAGGAAGGAAGGAAGGAAGGAAGGAAGGAAAAAGATAGAAGGAGAGAAGGAAGATTGAAGGAAGGAAAAAAATATATAAGGAACGAAGAAAGGAAAGAGAAACTGAATCAAGAGAGGATATATAAGGAAGTACTTAGTAGGGAAAATGTGTAATGAAGTAAGAAATCCATTATGAAAGCAAGAAAGAATGGAAGGAGAATAAAAAGTAAAAGAATAAAAAAAACAAGCAAGTAGGGAAGAAAGGAAGCATTAATGTTAGTTTGTATGAACTAAGGAAGTTGGCAAGCAGGAAAGCAAGGAATTAAAGAAAGCCAGTAGGAAAACAAGCAAGTACAGATGGATCGTTGACGACGGGAAATTCCATAAAACTATAGAAGCTATTCATGTAACTTCTTGAGAGCACATGGTGACAGTATTGACTTCCAGTTTGTGAGCTATAGTTATTCTTTTAAACCAAAGAATGATGGATATGGATCTAACACTAACTTATAACTCAAATAAATATCAAGTCTTCAGTCTGCTCCTCAAACAGGTATGCTATTACTCCTTCATGTCCTATTTGAAGCTTAAAAGTTTACGTTAATTTAAATTACATTTAAGATCCATATTTCAAATCTTCTTTCTAATATACTTTTGAAGAAAAAAAAATAAGGTTAGGAATTACACTAGGATGTAAAAGAAGATACATTTTATGGTTGGATGAACTATCCCTTTAAGACTTAACCATTGATGCTACATCTGTCGCTCTCTACTTCTTTGTGATTACTAAAATCTCCTAGCTTGTTTTTCACCAACCATTCTCTCCACCCTTCCACTTAAAGCTGATTTAATGATGAGGTCTACAGGACAGTATTCTGATTAATGCTTATAACGGGGTATTAAGTGACAGGTAAACCAGTGGCAGGTGCTGCACACACGCTCTCGCTCTCTCATAGGTGCTTGTGGTTTGATAGACAGAAGGGCTCTGTGAGATTTTTTTTTTTTTTTCCAAAATGGGCTGAAATGGACATCTGCTGGTGTTTGGCCGTTGTGGTGTGGAAATACTGTGTTGTGTGGCATTCGGTGGGCGCTGGGCAGAGTCGTCTTTGAAGCAGCGTCTGCGCTTAGAGCGGTTTTGTTCCCTCGAAGCCGCTGGTGGGATTAATTCAGACTCTCCAGAGGAAGAAAAGCCTCTTCAGTGGGCCTACGCAACTGTTTGTAAGGGGGTTTATGGCACGCCATGAAAGTTGTGCCATTAAACAGTGGGCTTGATGAATAGGTCGTCCATAATGCTAATGCCACCCATCTATGCGAATGCGCGAGGGAGGATTGAATGTGGCCATACACTTAGATCAAAGTCAAATCCTGTTTGAAAGAACATGGGCGACTTAAAATTGAGTAACACGGCTAAAAGTTATAATGCCAAGGAGAAAATTAAAGACGGGAATTTTAATGAGGTAAACAATTAGACAGCTGGCCCCAATGTTAAAGGGTTTTTATTTAATTCACACCAATAAATGAAATATATTTGGATCAAAGATGATAATATGGTCGGCTTAAAGCTTAAATTGATAAAGGGTGATTTAATATTGAAGTATACTGGCTGCAATATAAGTGTCTAAACTTCTCAAAACAATCTAGAAAATCTCTACTTCTAAATAGAAATGAAACAGTTTGTCATTTACTGTAATAACCACATAAAAATTAAACCTACTTCTGATTTATATGAGAGTTTTGAATGGGTAACATACTAAGATGTGTGATATTTTCAAAAACATTAAACTTTTTGTTTGCATATTGATAAAAATATATGCTTTGAAGAATATAAGCAAAGTATAAAGGCTTAAAATATCAACTAAATTAACATTTGAGACCATAATGAGATCCTTAAATCATATTAAAAGTTATTAATGAGTCATCAAATAAACCTTGTTCTAAATATGCATGATTATTATTATTATGTTTGCTATATAAACGATAAGCTTATAAACTATACATTTATGAATATAATAAATAAAGTCACATGCCTTACTCAGGTGTAGTTCAACAGAGTGTAAAAATCTTGATGGTTTTGTGGGTTTTGTGTATCAAATCTGATCTTTATTTTGTATTTTCTATAGGATTCAAGTTAGGTGATAGGTTTGGGCCATTCCACAGCTTGATTTTCTTTCTCTAAAAGCATTTAGGAGTTTCCTTGACTGTGTTTTGCATCATTTTCTTGCTTAAACGTCCACTCTGATTTCAGCTTCATCATCCTGGTAATGTAGATGTTGGACTGAAGCAGCTGATATTCATTTACAATGAAGAAGGGCAGAAGGTTGCTGAGAGATTTCAGCTGCTGTCTGGGCTTTCACGGCCTTTTTATACTTCCCTTTCTTCATGTGTCAACACTTTTTCCCTGTGTCATTTCATTTTAATACACATTATTTAATTTGTAAACTAGTAAGATTTTTCTTTGCATATATAAAAATTTCAAGTCAACAGCACTGAGAAAAAAATGATGATGTATTGAATACTTATTTCCCCCACTGTGCATGTATGTATATTACTATATAACTGTATTATGTTTTTTATTTCTCGCACCATATGGTCTACTTATTATTTCAAAGCTTTCATTCCTATTCATTTAAAATCCAGTGAAGAGACTAACCAGTACATTGTTCTCAGTTTCTCATTTTATGTTCCACTAAAGTCATCCGATTTGAAATGACGATCTAAGAAATGGCAGAAATTTCATTTTGCCCTTTTCCTTTGAGTCCTCCACTTCCAATAAATATCGCCCAAATGACAAAACAAGCTGCTTTGCTGGAATCCAAACCCAACCAGGTCATTTGATGAAAAAATATGAATCTGCAGAGAGTCCCGAAAGTGCATTATAAGCTCAGCATGGCCGACAAAATTAGCAGCTTATGATTTTTATGTTTTTCTCACTATTTTCCAGGCAGCGTCAGCCTCAAAAGCAGAGTTTAAAAAAAAGCTTGTCTATTATTTTTTTCCTCCAAGCTGCTTGCATCCTCTCTCTCTCTCTCTTTCTCTAGAGCTTTACCAAATCGCAGATTACAACATACTGAGAAATTACACGCTGAATAGTTAATTACTGACTGTACTTGGACATATTAACTCTACAGCTTTTTACTTCATAATTAAAAATGTTTAAGCATGTCTTAAAGTGACTAATTAAAAACGACCATGACAGCAATTCATTTCAAAGAATTATCACTTGTTATAAGGTCCTTCGACTCCTTTTAATAAAGCCGTTTCTGACTGTCATTTTCTGCTAAACATAGCCAAAAATATAAACAAATAAGGAAGAAAAAAACTGAATGCTTGACATCCTCTGCAAAATACTGCTTCGAATAAAATCTTTTCCTACTCCAGTCTTCGAGTGGACTCAAAAAGTGGCGTCTCAGCTCAAGTTTCCCACCAGGGACCAAAACAACGCTTTAACATTGACCTCAGAGCGAACGAGAGCATGTCACTCACCTCTTTTTAGCCGGACCATCCACAGAGTACTCGCCTCCTCCATCTTTCCTCTGAGAGCGAGATCCGTCCTCTTTATGTCCTCCCTTAGAACCATTCAGCTGTCCATTTGACAAGGAAGCTGTGATGAAAAACAGAAACAGAAAAAATGAGAAAGAGTAACAACCTCCATATGCAGCATGTCATGTATTCAACAATAAAATGAAATATTAATCACTACTCTTTAGGATTACTTTTACAATGTGAATTGAAATGGAGCACTAGCGCACTAAAAAAAAAAAAGTTTATTTCAGCATCTGAAAAGAAAGAGATGGCGATTGAAACATGACAATATGGACAAAAACAGATTTACTGACAGCTTCCTCCAGCACAAACCTTCATTTATGGTTACACGTGTACAGTCAGAATTTGCGCAGAGAAAATAATTCACAATCATTTTTCTGGCTGACCCCATTCACTGAGGCATTTTTTTGCCACTTGTTTTAATTAATTACTACGCAATTTTACAAAACTGCTGATGGAAGTGGAAAGTTCTACAAGTGACCTAATGACAATCAATTAGCAAATTAAAGGGGTCATGCTATGCCAAGCTCAGATCGTCCTATAATGTGAGAATTTTCAGCTCAAACAGTCCCTTGATCATTGATTGTCATATTGTAAATGCCCCTTTTTGGGTGTGAGCCAGTTACAATTAAAGCCTGGTCAGTTGAACGTTTTGATATACAGCTTTGTAAATGCACAGTTACAGATGTCAAAGCATGAGTATTGATATTGGTTATGCTTGAGAATGTAGTCATGGAAGAAATTGCATGTGTATCAGTATATTAGATCCGTGATACTGAGTCACTTACAGATTAAAACAATACTAATCCAAGTCAACCAGGGCTTACACCTTTGGGTGGGAATTACTTTTATTGAGTTTACTGTACTATGTAGGAAGAAAATTATGGATTACATTTGAGGTATTTGAGAGAGTTGCAACACAAGCACTGACTTGAATTGTTAAGTTTTTTAAGAAGTCTGCAATTTGTAAAGTACAGCATAAAAAACACAATTAAAATATATTATTTTTATTTAACTATATGAAATAAAAAACTGTCCTTTAACATTTAATTTATTACTGTGATTTCAAAGCTGAATTTAATCATTTCCTTCAGAAATCTTTCTAAAATTCAGAATTGCTCCTCAAAAACCTGTAAAAATTACAGGGAGTAATACAGAGACATGAAATTAAAGTGAGAAACTGTGTCCGAGCAATCACATTTAACAAAAGATCATTATTGTGGATTCAAAATACTTTATCCAAAATCCTTAAAATGTATCTTTAATTAAATTAAATAAATAATGTAAATGATAAATTAATCGAAAGGATGCAATGTGTAACATTTCTTGAAATGTCTGAAAATATAACACTCTCATTAAAGACATAAGTGTTACAAATAAGGGAGTTAAAAGGGAAATGATAATAATTATAAGTACTTGGCATTAATTACATACAGAATTATTAGCCCCCCTTTGAGTTTTATTTTTCTATATTTCCCAAATTATGTTTAACAGGGCAAGAAATTTTCACAGTATGTCTGATAATACTTGTTCTTCTGGATAAATTCTTATTTGTTTTATTTTGGCTAGAATAAAATAAGTTATTAATTTTTACACACCATTTTAAGGACAAAATTATTAGCCTCTTTAAGCAATTTTTATAGTCTACAGTACAAAACATCATTGTACAATAACTTGTCTAATTACACCCACCTTGCATGGTTAACCTAATTAACCTAGTTAAGCCTTTAAATGTCACTTTAAGCTGTATAAAAGTGTCTTGAAAAAAAATTGAATATTATTTCCTGTCATCATGGCAAAGATAAAATAAATCAGACATTAGAAATTTGTTATTAAAACTATTATGTTTAGAAATGTGTTGAATAAATCGTATAAAATCGAATAAATTCGTTAAATAGAAACTTGGGGGGGGGGATTGGGGGGGGGGGGGGTAAACAAAGGGGCGAATAAAAAAAAAACTGCACTCATTAACACTAGAGCGTCCAGGATTGTAGAGTTAAATCTCTATTTACACGACTCAGCTCATTTAATTTCAGTGTTTAGGAACATTCATTAAGTGAATACCCAGAATCATTCCCAGATCTGGACCTCAAATCTGAAAGAAAGACAAATAAAAAGCTGGAGAAGAGGAAAAACTACAATAAAGCTGCTCTCCAACACATACATGAAAAGCTATAAAAGTGCTTTTCTCTTACATCCAGACCAGCGTGGCTGGACTTCAAAGCATCCAATGCAAGTCTTAAGAGGTCTAATCTCATGGGACAAACATTGTGTTTGAGTAAATTGGGATGGTTTGAATCCAAATAGAAAAGCAGGAGGGAAAAAAAAAACATTGGTGTCCCATATTCAAAACGACTCCTTAAGTGCAAGAGCAAACAAGCTTGCGAGCCACTGCCTTCATCACGACACGGGAAGCCAAAACCCGAGAGAGCCGGCCAAGCCAAGCCGACGTGGGTGGAGAGGGATCAGATGTAAACAGCTTAACGCGGGCTGCTCGCTTTCCGCGCCGTGTTTTACATATGTTGGTCTCACTTGAGTGGCTGTGTGAAAGACAGTCGGAGTCTAGTGGAGCCAAACCTCTTCTCTTTCTCTCTCTCCCTGTCTTTCTCTCTCTCTCTCTAGGCTGCGAGAGTGTGTGACGGTTTATCAACCGTCTGTCCTTCAGGGCCTCTAATCATATTTATGCGTGTTTAACTAAGCCCAACGCCTCGCTACATTCACCTCCTGGTTTCCACTGAGAGTGTGTTTTGACGTGCGACCAGTTAATAACAGAAAAATAGCATATAGGAGTGTGTGCTCATATAATTAAAAACTAATTTCATCACAAAAAGCAGACAGACTGAATTAAAATACTGAGGGCCACATCAGTTGATTTTTGCTGGGAATCTGACACATTGTGCTTGTTTAAGAGGCATTTAGGATAGCTGTGTGCAGAATTATTTTTTATAATTTTAGTAATATTTCAATATTACCACAAACTCAAATAGGGCTTTTGCTTCTTGTTTAAACTTCTTATATAAAATGAGCTAAAACAACAACACAATTCTTACTTTTGTAGGAGGGACGACTTAATACTTTTAGGTTCAATCCACTTAAATTTGTAAAAACTATGAAGTCAACTTAATCAATTTGTGTTAAGTGCACAGTAAAAAATACAGAGTCCACACAATTCATTCATGTAGTCGCCACAAAAATTGATGAAATTAATTTAACAAATTTAAATGGATTGAATGTAAAACAATTAAGTTGTCCCAAAAATAAAGGATTGTGTTTCTGACCATTTTAAATAAGTAGTTTGAAAAGTAGCAAAATCTTTTTTTGAGTGCACTTAATTAAATAAAGTGATTGAGATTTAATATATTCATACAGCATTTATTAGAATCATACATTTATTTATTTTCATAGAAAAATTTCCTTTCATCATAAAATAGCTTTAATTATAAAACAAGCATTTTAATAGCTTAATGAAACGTATTACAAGGAGATATAACGTGACAACTGATATTTATATGCATTTTACTCAAGTAGACCTTTGCATTGTTTTTCTGAACACATAAATAAGAGCAATCACATGATTTTTTTGATATTGTCCCTCCATTTGGGTGTCTAAATTATTTACAGGGGTGAACAAAGATTTGTGTGGATTAGTTGGCATTATTTTCTTGCACGAATATTCCAAACTGTGAATTTCTGTGAGTTATAGCAGGTATATATTTACTGATCGTCAGAGTAACAGAGTAGACAGTATCAGGGCAGCAGAGAGACAGGTGTACACACACATCACAAAATTTGAGGGGTTTTAGAGGGGGATAAAAACATCAGTTGACCACTTGATGCAGAAATGTTAGAAAAGTGTAGATATACGTTTCCTTCAATAAGAGAATATTTGGTCTACAATGAAAGAAGCACTTTGGCCAAATTAGGCTGTTTCTTTCCTCTTAACATGGACGCCTCAAAATGGACGCCAGTGGACGCCAATGGACACCAGTGCCACATTGTTTGCAACACAAAAGCTAAAACAAGTCCCCTGACTCTCCCCTTTTGTCTGGGTTTAGAAACAGAGTCAGCTAGTGGTGATCTGCCTGTTTTTTCAGACCTGTGGATACTTCATGACTCAATGATATGTGCAATGACAATAATGAGCTTCAAGATTAAGATTATGAAAACAAAGCACACAAATACATACATACATACATACATACATACATACATACATACATACATACATACATACATACATACATACATACATACATACATACATACATACATACATACATACATACATATTCAAATTCAAATAAAACTAAACAAAACCCAATTAAAACAAAACTAGTAAGCAGTCAAACACAACAAAACAACCAACCACCAAAACAAAGCAACCAAAAAACAAAACAACAGAACTGAACACAAGAAAAACCCAAAAATCAACCAAAAAAAAAAAAAAGAAAAGAAAAACAGGGAATACAAAAAACGAAATCAGGGAATAATATATATATAAAAATAAATTGATTAACAAATAAATAAAAACAACAAACACAAAAATGAACACAATCCACAAAAAAACTGACCAAACAAAACAAAATCAACAAAAACAACAAAAAAAAGAAAAATCAATCAAAACTAGTAAGTAGTCACAACAAGCTGCAACCCAAACAAAAAACTAAACAGAACAAAAAAGAGGAAAACAAACAAATCTAGCAACAATTATTCTACAAAAAAATTACCAACCAAAAAAAAAAAAATTTAATTAATTAATTAATTAAATTAGGGGGAAAAAACATACAATAAAAATTAACAAACAAATAAAAACAGCACAAAATGACTACCAGCTACTAAAAAAAATAAACAAAACTAAAATCAACAAAAAACAAGAAAAAGAAAATCAAATAACTATCAAATCAAAATCAAAACTAGTAAGCAGTCAATAACAAAACAACAAACACCAAAACAAAACCGAACAAAAACAAGCCAAACAAATAATCCAGCAACAATTAATCTACAAAAGATTACCAACCAACCAAAAAACCCAAAACAAACATTAATCAGGCAAAACAA